CTGGCTACAAGCAGCTGGTGCCCCACTACACCCTCCTCCCTGACGCCATGAACCTGGCACTGGCCCGCAACATGATGAACATCCAGAGTGACGTGAGTTTCATTGCTTCAGTCATTTTTCTTACGAATTTCCTCCAGAACACTTAGATTATTGCCGAATGTACAGTACCTCTGAAAATGTTTGCCCTACATAATGGCTTAAAAAAGCATGTTCTGTTAGATTCACATTTTCTCACCCTTTTTGTTTTCAAATTTCACATATCAAGCAGGAGCAGTGTTCTGTTTCTCTTCAACTTGTAGAGTAATGCTTGAGAGTGCTACGTGGAAAGTTTTTTTTCTGCTGTGTTAGTATGAAGATTATTTCCCCTGTCTGTCAATTTCTCTCTGTCAATACAGAATGAATACAAGAGTGAATACAACAGCTGTTTTAAAGGACTGGGATGGATACCGATAGGCTCCCTGGAGGTGGAAACTGCTAAGAAAAGCTCTGAAATGAAGAGCGAAAAGAAGTACCGCCAGCACCCCTCATCCTTCCAGTTTAAGAAGCTTATGGACTCTATGGATATTGTTCTGGCTTCGGTCAATAACCAGATTATGAACAAGGTATTGTACACAGAGGCCAACTTACATATTTTAAAAACAGAAATAAAAGTTAAAGTTAAAGAACAAAGTTAAATCTCCATTTTCCTCAAATCTTTTTATCAGAGTAAACACAAATCATGCAACATAAGCAACACAATGGGAAAAGAAGCCAAGTAGTCACATTTTCAAATAAATCATCTTGTTGAGGAAATGCCTTTGATTTTTGCTTGTGTAGATTGCAATTGTGTTGCACAACAATCTAATTAACTGAAGTCATTCCCACTGTTTATAAATTCTATCAAAGTCACTTTAGCAAAGTTATACAACTGTACACCCTGAAAACGTTTATATAGCTGAGATCTCGCCTTGTACAGTACGTTGATATTTCAGCATGTATCAATAGCACATTTTACATATGGTGCCATGACAGTAACTTGTAGCTCTACATTATATGCTGTCTTTTTTCTATTTTATTTTTCTTTTGCTACAGAAAACATATACAGAAGCATGGAACAGGGATAAGATCAAGATCCATGTTATGCCTGACACTCCAGAAGTCCTTTTGTCCAAAGCAAACCAGATCAATACCAGTCAGGTAGGCTTTCAACAGATTTGAGGTATTCTTTAAAAAACAAGTTTTAATATTTCATCTTGTAATCCTTTTTTTTTTAAATATATTTTCAAAAGAGCTAGTAAAATTTATTTTCCACTGAAACAAAAGGAAAATTTAAGATTCTGTACAAGTTGTGTGTTACCTGGTGCATGAAGCTGTAATGGATCAGTTTTATTTCATTCAGGTTTGAGGCCTTAGTCCAACTAATTTAAAAATTAGTTAAATTGACTGTTTTTTTCAATAAGAGGCTTGGTAAATTAGAAGAAAGTTTCGGATACATACACATAAATATTTAATTATTATGTGTGTATACTATTGTAGCGGAGCTGGTGTGGTGACGTCAGTGCCCTCACTGCGCGTAGCAGGCTCCTCAGCTGCCTGGGCTGAGGGAGGTCTCCTTTAGCTCACGCGGTTGGTGCCCTGTTGCGTTACGCCGGAGACCCGGGTTCGTGCCCCAGGTGTGGGGGACGGAACGGGTGGCGGGGGGCATGACCCCGCGCGGAACCGCGACGATCACACTATCATGCAGCTTTTTGTAGATTCTTTTATGTTGCAGATTGTTATGGGGTTAAACATTTAAAGTTAGAGCTATGTGAGATTAATGCTTTGAAATGTAAGGCCTACACGGTATTTGTATTTCATTTTAGAAAGCCTACAGAGCTGGCTTGGAGGAAATGAAGAAGAAAGGCCATGACCTCAAAGC